ACTTTAAATATTAAATCTATTTAGATTATCAATTAATTTATAATTGATGAATCTTTTGTGGATTTATAATAGAAAAAAGAGCTTTCTAGTTTATCATAATTATAAAATACAGATCTTATTTTATTGGAAATTTATAATTATTTAAGCAATCCCCTAGATTCTTTTCACTTTTAGCTCTCGATACAGGATGGAATATTAATGTTCAAGCAAATTAAATTAAATTTTTGGAAAATTGCTTTCACACCTTAGCTGAAAATTTATTATAATCTTATGCTTCTTTAGTTTTCATGAATTTTAAAATAGCAAGATTTAAATATCAAATCTGATCTAGGAAAGAAATGCATTTACTAATTCATCTAATTCTTTTATTTATATCAATTCAAAAACAGTAATTATGTAAAATTTATAAATTTCTAATCACAATGTTCATACTTATAAATTATGGTAAAGATTTTATGGTGTAAAATTAGATTAATTTCTTAATTAATAACAAATCAATCAATTTGCATTTTATACCATTAATATAACAAATATAGGAGTAGTGGGTTCAATATAGAGGATTCAAACTAATTTTAAAATTTTACATAATTAAAATTATTAATATAATATAACTTCTTTAACAAAATCAATGTTTACTTGTTTACTTGTTTAAATTGTAGATAATATTGTAGAATCAAAGAGTATTAGCATATATTCATACTTTTAGATATTTAAATTTAATAATCTATTTAATAGAATGTCTTGATCTATTTTATCAATATAACCATCTAGAATATTGTAAATGCACTTATATTAAAACTCTCTAAATTTTATATTAATAAATTATAAAGATTTTACACTTTTTTAATTTCATAATTATAAATTAATTGATGAGTTATGTTTCATTAAATTAATATATTTAATAGTTTAACATATTACCCAAATCGATAAAAGATAATGTTATCAGAATTCAATTTTCTACATTTCATTTAATTTCATATAATTCAAAATGATTGTAAACATTACAATAATGAATTGATTTATTTAATTTATTAACTTTCCAAATTGCCAAAATATAAGAACTAAATTGTAATTACAAAATTATAAAATAGTATGGATGATTACCTATTAAAATATTAAACTCTAATTTTATTAAAAATAATGGTAGTTAAGGAGTTGCAATCTCATCAAATAGTCCAATCATAATCTAATATTGATAAATCTTATGTATTTGGATCAGTAATTTTTATAAAAATTAATTAAAACTTGAAAATTATTTTTACATATTTTACATATTTTCTCTTTTTGATATTCTTGATAATAGAAGATATCAAAATAATATTTTAATTATATTTCATTAACTCTATTATATTGAATGATTATTAATGTTACTGGCAATTACTTTATTAAAATGAGATCCCAATCCTTCACATGACAATTTATTGATTATAAATAGATTTCATAAAATTTTAAGGAATTAATTAAAATAAATGGCACATTTCTTAAGAATTTTTAATCGTAAATTCTATTTATTCTAGTTCAAATTAAATTTTCTTTAATTTATTTTTCAATATCTTGTTATAATATTAATTCATTGTTCTAAATAGCTTTAAAATTGTTATATTTACTTTCAAATTCTTTTTCATTAATAAATCCATTTAATCTTACATCATTTTATAATCTAAATATATTTATTGAAATACTCAAAATTGGATATGAAAAATAAAAGTTTCAT